GGCACAGGACACGACTTCAGGACCCAGCCTCAGCTTTCCCCACCGTCCAGCTGGGGCTGGGCCCACTGCGTTCCAGCGTGAGCATCTGAATTCACAGTAAAGTCGAAATGACTACTATGAGGTCCATCTGCAACGGCAGATTCTGATGGAGGCTGGGAAGAGGCCTGGAGGCAGGTGAACTTGGGGGTGCAGGGGGCAAACTTGAAGCTGGAGATCCAGAGCCCCCTTGGAGAGCAAGCCTGGGGCCTCTGCTTCTCGGAGCCCCTGGACCACAGGGCAGAGGGGCAAGACGGGGGTTGGACATTCAGAAGAGCCTCCTGGGGGCAGCGGTGGAGAGCGGGGCCACAGCGGGTCCTGTGGCCACAGTGCTGGAGACGGGGCCTCCGCCCTGAACCTGTGGGCCTCACCCTCCACGCCTGGCTCCGTGGCTTGGGAGTCCGTGGTCCCTTGAGGGTGGAACCTGGGATTCCCCCTCCTGGTGATCCTGAGCGTGGGTGTCTGAGCTCGAGGAGCGGGTCCCCGCGTCCCAGCCCGCGGGGGTCCTGTGTCCTCAGGGCCGCCATTCCGTGTGACGCTCCTGTGATTTGGTGCCTTCCGTGGTGTCGGGACAAGGACAGCCGGTGGCCCCCGGGAGGGGAACAGCAGACAAAGGCCCCCCTGCTCAGGGGCTGCTGTTCTGGTGGGGGTGACGGCACCGCATAGACAAGCAGACTGGAAGCGGGGTCAGAGCTGGGCGCCGGTGGGTGGCGGGGGCGGACTCCGAGCGCCGGGGTCGTGCACGCACGCAGGTGCCTGGCCAGGCCTCGCCGTGGAGGTGACGCTGAGGGAGGGCTGCAGAAGGTGCGGGAGGCTACTGTGCGGCTACTTGGGGAAGGTGTTTCCAGGCAGAAAGAAGCGCAAAGGCCCCAAGGTGGGAGCCCGCCCGGCAGGTGGGGGCAGCAGCCAGTGGCCAGTGAGTCTGGAGAGCAGAGAAGAGCCTGGGCAGCGGGAGGCAGGGAGTGGGGGCGGCGGTCTAGCTGGGGGCCCGTGGGTTGGTGTCTGCCCAACTCAGTGTCGCCACCCAGGGCCATGGCCAGGACTGTCTGGGTCAGGTGAGGACCTCAGTGCCCTGCACTGTGCCTGGCACCTGGTAGATGCTTGGGGAGTGTTTGTTGACTGACTGACTGATTCTAACAGCAGAGACACTAAGCTGCCCTCTTGCCCCCTGCCCTGCCCCCGCCTCTGTCCAGGCCCTGGGGACATTGCCCTTGGGCCAGCACCTCCTGCTGTCACTTCGGGTGAAGGAGCTGCCCACAGTCACGCTCCAGAACAAGAAGGCCACAGTCACCATCCCAGCCAACATCCACGTGCTGGCCTCTGTCCGGCCGGGGGCCCCTGAAGCCCTCTTTGAGCTGAACGTGGTGAGTGGCCGAGGGTGGGAGGGGCCGGCGGGGGTCTCCTCCTGATGTGGGAGGGTGGGGAGGCCCGGGGGCAGCCCAGCTCGGGAAGCCCACCAAGCGCCTGCCCCTGGGGCACCTGGCCACACTGCTGCCTGCCCCTTGGAGCATGAATGGCCCGGCCCACAGCCGTGCACCCTGCCTGGCTGGGACCTCAGATACTGCTCCCCGTCTTCTGGCCTCTCTGCTCAGACACGTCTCAGACACCCCCAGCTCCCTGTGCTCCCCCCAGCCTGCTCGCGTCCGCCCCACCTGCACAAGTTGCCCCAGGCACGTGGGGGCCGAGGCAGGTCCCTCCCCGGCTCACTCTGCTCTGTTTCCCTGTGGCCGGGCACCTGAGCCTGGTTCCAGGCCTTGCCTCTCTCGTCCTTGCTCTGTAAGCCTCAGGTCCTCCAACCACCCCTCCCAGCTCCCTGGCTTTGTCTGTGCAGAGTCCCTCCCCCGGCTGGGGCATCACCTTGCCTTGCTCGCCCCCTGCTGGCAGGAGGAGGCCTCTCCCAGTCTTCACTCTGGTTCTTCAGTACCAGACCCGCCAAGGCACCAGGGCAGAGGCCAGCCAGAGGGAGCGGCAGGCAGGGACCCACCTGCTGGCCAAGGCAGCCTGGCCTCGGGCTCTCTGATTCCCGGGGTGACCTCTGCTGGCTTTTTCATGCAGGTCATGACCCTGAACGCCCAGCTGGCTCCGTCGGCCACCAAGCTGCACATCTCCCTGTCCCTGGAGCGGTAACATGGGGGCTGGGGAACAGGGCCTTGCTGCTGTCCTCAGGAGTAAGAGTTAGGGACGCCGGCGCGACGCCTCTGTTCCCTGAGCATCGGCTAAGCGCCAGGTTTGCCTGAAGGGCAAGGCGGCAGAGGGCTTGGTGTTAGCCCACTTTACAGATGAAGCAGCTGAGGCTCCAAGAGGCAGCCTCCAGAGGGGGCTTCTCCCTCTGCCCCTTTTCTGCTCAAGCCCTGCCACCACCCTCCTGTGCACGATGGGACTTCTCTGAGAACAGGCACAGCGCTCTAGAGTTTGCACAGCTCCGCTGTCCAGGCCCAGTGCTCACCCCTGCTGTCCCTGCCCAGGCTGCAGGGGCTCTCCCAGGGGTCTCTGGCACCTGCCCTTCCTGGGTTGTGGGCACCCAGTGCTTGCCTGCCTCCACCGCAGTGCCCCCTGCTGGTCCCTGTGTGGTTCTGCCGCTGCCCACTGCTGTCCCTCCCCGCTGCCTGGGCCCCCGTGCCTCCCTCGGCTCTGGCCCCGAGCCCGCATTTGGGTCAGCCGGGATGCTGACTGCGGTGAGCGCCTGCTGTGTGCAGGGCATCTGTGTCCAGTGCTAGGGCTGGGCGAGGGCCGCTGCTCAGGGGAGCTCAGCCGCCTCTCCGGGGCCCGCAGCTGGGAGGCAGCGCAGGCCGCGCAGGCTACGGCGCCACAGGTGCTGGTCTTGGTGTCCCAGAGTGAGGTCAGCTCCCTCCAGACCCACGTTACAGATAGGAAAGCGGCCTCTTGGCCATGGCTGCCCAAGGCAGGGCCGAGCCCGCGAGCCCACTTCCTGACCCCGGTGAGCTACGGCTAGGGCAGGCTAGGGTGGGACGGGGTGTGGGGACCGGAGGTCGGTGGTGTGGGGGGCAGGCCCCTCAACACTCCTCCTCCCTCCGCAGGCTCAGGGTCAAGCTGGCCTCCTCCGCCCACACTTTTGACGTATGTTCCGCGGCGAGCGGCTGTGGGGTGGGGAGGGTCTCCGGGTGGGGTGAGTCATTGCAGACGCTGAGCTGACCTCGGTCTGGGTGCAGCTCCAACAAGCCAGCCAATAGCAGGGCAAACATGTGTGTGTATGTGTAGGTACGTGTTGCATGTGTGCGTGCGTGTCTGTGTCTGTGTGCCTGTGTGTGTAGTTATGTGTGCATGTGTCTGTGTGTCTCTGTGCGTGCATGTGTGTATCTGTGTGTGTCTCTCCATGTGTGCCTGTGTGTGTGTGTGTAGGGTGTGTAGGTATGTGTGCATGTCTCTGTGTCCTGAGGTTCTGGGACCTTGACGGTCTCAGGCTCTAGAACATTCTAAGGGTCCCTACACTGACAGTCATCTCAAGGGCAAAACTCTGTAGGGTCTTCTGGGAAAGGGTACCTTCTTTAGGCCCTAACCCCCACTTCAAACCCCCCAAGGCTCTCCCTAAAGAGGGGTGGGTCATTTCCAAAATAATGGGGCTTACAGGGCCCACACTCTATAGACCCCCTTCAAAAA